AAACTACATTATTTTTATTTATTCGAGAACTTTCTTTTCACTATCATAAAAATATTTTATTCTTATATGTGAAAATGATGCATGAATAACGAATAATATTTTCAACGTTATTTAATCAAGATAAATTATTATTTTTCAGTTCTCCTAATTAAAATTAAATTAATTTTGTTACTATCCATAATATTGAACAAATCACACTAAATTTGCGAATAAATTATAGAATATTCGAGCAAACATTTATTTTCTATATGAAATTCGAAAACCGGCTAAAACCCGTTTTTTAGTAAAATTAATATTCAAAAACCGGTTTTCTGAAATGTCGGTTTTTGTATAAACCCTAGTTCGCACTAGGAAACACTAGTCACTTTTCATCCCATGCAGTAATTTTATCCTTTATCATTTGAACATATATATCAACAATGTGTTTGCATTTTGAAATGACTCTCCTGAGTATTGCTGTGAAAAACCATCAACAAATATAATCACCACTAAAGTGCCAACCCTTATATTCATTCTAAGAAATAATTTAAAACAACAACTTAATGTTGTTCTAAAATCCAGATCCTAGTTTATACGACAAAAAAATCACCACGATAAAGTATATCCTTTACTCAGTCTAGTTTCCGCGTTCAAAGTCCATCCCGAACTGTTAGATATCGGAAGGTTCTCGGTCCTGTTGGTTTCACATTCAAGGCATTCTGACTCGGCCTGATAAAATATTTAAAAATTGATCTCTTGGGCAATGTTAGACCACCCCTTGCTCTTCCTTAAAGCACGCCCTTCGCTCGAGTTTTCGCGAACGAACACCTGACTTCCACAACCCAAAGAGTTGGTTGGTCGGACGGCTGTTACGAGACTCACAGATGTGGCACTGACATTTGTTTTATACATTTCGGTGAAAGAATAGAATTTCGTGTGAAAATAACCCAATGTAGGTTCGGGAGAACAATACGATTTGGGAAAACGAGAGGTGAATCTGAGTATTATGTTGTTGTATACCTACTAAGCAGTAATGTGTCATCACAGTGATTAAAATAGAGGTTGCTTGCATAAGATTTTTTGAAACAGTAATACCCCGCTTAACGCTGTTTCGGTTTAGCGCTCTTTTATTTCAACCCAGGTTTTGAAGGAGTAAAAGTGGAAGACGTCGAAGAAATAATTCAAGAAGCACCGCAGTCATTCTAATGATGAGTTCAAGGAATTAACTGAATAAGAAGCAAACAAAATGTTGACATCATCAGTGATTCAGAGGAAGAGCAAAAAGAACTTTCAATGGTGTTTGTAAAAAGAAGTTTGACAACCATAACTAAAATGATGGATCAATTTATTGAAAATGATCCGAATTTTGACAGGAGGTCAAATGTAAAGCATGGTGTTAAGAATGCTCTATCCTTTTATGAAGAAATTTTAAGAGAACAACGCAAAGGAAAAGAGGGCCTCCATTAATCACGTGGGGTTTTTAGGAGGAGGGGGGTTTGATAAAAAAATCACGAAATATCACATGGGGGAGGGAGGGGTATGGTAAGATGTCAAGTGTATTTATGTATTTATTTTATATGTATTTATTTTTAACTATTTTTTTTTTAAGTTCAAACATTTAAAAAATAAATTCAATAAATTTTTTCACGTACCTAAAACTACACGTGATGTATGGTGGGGGAGGGGAGATAATTATGAATAGCACCATGTATTAACAAGGGGGAGGGGGGTCCAAAAATCCTTAAAAACTCGCTCACGTGATTAATGGACGCCCCCTTAGATGCTCGTCACAAAAAGGCAACACATTGAAAACGCTGAAGGCTAACTAAATATGACTGACTTAGAATTTTGTTTTTTCAAGAATATTCGTTTTGTTATATATATATATATATATATATATATATATAAACATAATTTTCAAATTTAATACCTAACCAATTTCCTAGCCACCTTTCCCTAACCCCAATAATTCCATGTAAAGAGAGCCTCGTTTAGCGCTGTTTCGCATTGCGCTCTACTTTGATAGAAAGTATCCCCGCGTTAAGCGGGGTATTACTGTATAACCAGCACACGTTCCATCTAATATTTTCTAAACAATTGTCTATTGTCGTAGGGCCGTAATATTTTAGTATGATCTATAAGACCCTGGTATCTACCGCCGAAGTTATTTCTTTATACCCCGACGTCCAATCATTGGATTGACATTCGATTTAGACATTCAAAGTACTACCAAAAATTTGCTGACATTCCATAACTCCTACTTCTGCCCCAAATGATTCGCAAAACAAGAAACCTAGTGAAAACAAAAAATGTCCAAGTACCTCTTACATTTTCTAACAAAGACATCAAATGTTTCTAAATCAAATATAAACAACGCAATAGATGTATTTTTCAAAAACCGTGTTACCAAGCAAGTGTTCCATTTTTTTCATATTTGAGTTGTTATTTGAACTTTGCAGTTTCAATGTTAGATAAGTTAATCCGAACTCTTGAATTTGTTTTAGAATATTAATACAAATAACTACTATTAATTTTAGATAACAATTAAAAAACTATACTAATCTTGCTTATAACTGGAAAAAACAATCAAATCAGAACATTGACAATAGAAAACAAAGTTTCAAGTGCGGAATATCAAGTGTTAATTAGTTGTAAAATGTTCAACAAGCACTTGACAATATCCTGACTCATTTTATAGGCTAAATAAGACGCGTTTGAATTATATCTTAAAATCATATATAATTTTTTAAAGCAATGTTGAAATTTAGAATAATGTTAAGTTCAGAGAACAACATTTACCTATATTATTTTTTTTTACAATTAGATATCTTTATCGAAAATGGCAATCGATTTTATAAAATTTTGTGTTATTATTATGAGACTTTTGGGCCGATTCTGCATTAAAATAGACCAATGTCTTGGCAAGACTATATTATGTTCTAGTTTTCATACAAAATGCTACTGGAGAATTATTAATATTTAATTTAATATTTGCTGTGCAATCAAGCGTTCTACACATACAACGCAACTTCACTCATATGTTATCAAGGCATATCTCAAAGATGCAATTATGATAACATGTTTTTTTCGGCATTTGTGCGTTTTCTAGGTTAGGTTTTTTAACTAAACGCCTTACTGCATAACAACCACATAGGCATTTGACAGTTTTTAGTACCATTTTATATGAAAATTGCTTGCCATAACTATTTTTGGTCACTTTCCGCACAATGTGAAAAGATTGTAGACTAATGCAAATAAAAATATTGCTCCTGAGTATTAGATACAACCGATACAACTAATTTCTCCAAAATAATACATCCATATAATACCATCTGGCGAAGTTTGATCCAACTGTCGAATACATTGGAAAACCCAAGTCACATACTATAGTAGATTCGAAACGAATCTTTGCTACAGTCAATATACGAAACGACACCATTTACTTATATAAATTTAAACATTTTTATCGCTTGATACAAATGTTATCAAAAGAAATTATGTAATTATAACATGTCAATAATAAATACGTTCTGCGCCTTTATTTATTTACGAATTGGATGGACGTTATATTACATCAGTTGGGAATAAATAATTATTACAAAATTTAACCGTATATTAATGTCTCGTAAATTTTGGAATTATTTAGTAGAAATATTAATATTTATGTATGTAATTTTAAATAAATTCGAATCAAAACCATTCAACTTGCAAAACTCTAAAATTAAAATGGCGGACTTTTTGAATCCATTCGAATCATTTCGAATCGAATCGTAAAAATTCGAAAATGAGTATGTTGGCGCATTTGAATCGTTTCGAATTATAATTCAAATTTAATAATTATAATAATATAACATTTGATTGAATTCGGATCATAAACATCGACAATTTTGGTGGGTAATGGAACTATTGAATCAATTCAAATCGAACGACAAAAATTCGAATATTTAAATGACATTAGGCCGTATTCGAATCATTCAAATTAAATAAATTAGTATTGAATTAATAATCCTTAGTAATTAATTAAGTAATAATCGTTCATCAAGCAATTTCTATGTCAAAACGATATCGACTTACATAAACTCTAAAATTTGAATCCATTCGAATCATTGCGAATCGAATCCAATCGTAAAAATTCGAAAATTCGAAATGTTGGCGCTTTTGATTCGTTTCGAATAATTAATAATGGAATATTTGAATGAATTCGTGTCATAAAAATTCTAAATTTTGAATAATGGAACATTTGAATCAATTCAAGCCGATTTTTTTTTGTTAGAATTTATTTTTGTTAATCAAGACTTCAATGTCTTATTTACAAAATTGATTGGTGCAAAAAAAATAATACAAAAAAATACAATAAATTGAATATAAAATGAAAAAAATTAAAATAAAATAAAATAAAAACAGTAAAACAGAAATAATAACATAAATGAACTATGATGTATGACGAAAATTTGAATAATTGAATGGTGGAACATTTGAATCAATTCTAATATTTGAATGGTGGGAAATTTGAATTATTCGAATCATTCAAAATAAGTAAATTAGTAAATAAACCTGATTAATTAGTAATTATTTAAGTAATAACCCGTTCATCATGCAATTTATATATTGATATTTTATTTTTAGTTGTTGTTTATTACCTAGTATTTTTAAAATCGTCATTTAATTTATTTGTGAAATCGAGATCATATTTATACTTGTTTATCTCTTCTAAGCCAATACCTTGTGTAACCATGTAGTGTGGATGCCTTTCCAGTTGTATTCCATATTTTTTAAACAAAAATTATGCGGCCGCTAAAATAAACTACGATGAAATATATTACAATAAACATTCGATTTCATTTGGTTTGCTTAAATAATAATAACATCCATTCGAGATTCAAAACTCGTTTTCCAAATACCGTTAGTACCTGCATAAAAACTCTAGACTACGCCACTCTCTTTTAAATCGAACTCGAAGACTGCCGATTGTAGTCGAACGCCGCCCTACTTCGTATTTTGACAACAGTGGTCCCTAACAACCAACTTCATATGTCTAGTATCACTCTTAGCATTTCAATGAAAATCATACTCCTTTGAATTCATCATTTTAATTTCCCAAAAAATACAAACAGTGCCTGTGATAAGTGTAAAGTGTTTGTTAAAGACACACCTGACTCAATACCGAAATAAATTTCCCAAATCTCCAGGTAAGTCGATTATCAAACCATGTGTCATTGATATGTAGGTCGATCAATATAACTTTTATTACAGCATAGACACAGCATATTGCACTATCACTATCATATGAGAATGGATTCACTTGTTAATCATTTGATTTATTAATTTTTTATGCGCAATGCATTTTACTAAATTCGCTAGTGACGTAAATGTATTGATTTTTAGCAAAGAATTCGCTCAAAATGGCTCCTGATCCTTATACTTCTTTATACACATAGTTATATATCTAATATATATTCAATATCTATTCAGAATATATATATATATATATATATATATATATATATATATAAATCTAGGCAAATTGAAAAATATCTAGGATAAGAAATCCTTAAACGCATGTTCCAGACTTATAGCATCAATGATTTATTGATATTAGAAGATCCTAGTTTACATCATCAATGATTTTATTTCATTTTCATTTTTTGTTATATATATATATATATATATATATATATATATATAAATCTAGACAAATTGAAAAATAACCAGGATAAGAAATCCTTAACCGCATCTTCCAGCCTTACATCACCAATGATTTATTAATATTAGACGATCCTAGTTTAAATCATCAAAGATTTTATTTTTATTTTTTTAAATTATTTTCACACACACACACACACATATATATATATATATATATATATATAAATTTAGACAAAATTAAAATTATCTAGGATAACAAATCCTTAACCGCATATTCCAGTTTTAAAGCATCAATGATTTAATAATATTATAAGATCCTAGTTTACATCATCAACGATTTTTTTTAATTTTTATTTTTCATTATATTAGCAGTAAAAATTACAAATAAATACTAATAACAAAAAATTTAAATAAAAAATATAAATAATAAAATATATAAAAAAATAATGTATGTAGCTAATTGCAACGAATTTATAAAATTTACTGAAACATTTATTTAAATAGTTGAAAGTAAAAAAATTCCATTTTTACATAACTGTTTATTTTGAAAAAATGAGACATAATTAATTGAAAAATGGCTTTTATTTCATTTTATTTTTTATTGTATTAGCTAAAAAATATAAATAAATACTAATAATGAAAAATGAAATAAATAAAAATATGAAAATTATTTATGTAGCTCCCATGTATATATTACTGAAAATTTACTGAAATATTTATTTTAAAAGTTAAGGGTGAAAAAAATTCTTTTTACAGTGCTGTTTATTTTAGAAAAAATAAGAAAAGTATGCCAAAATAATTAATTCTATATAAATTAGTTAAAAAATTGTTTTTTATTTGTTTTCATTTTTTATTGTATTAGCTAACAAAATATAAATAAATACTAATAAGGAAAAATATAATTAATAAAATATAAAAAAATATTATGTAGCAAACTACCAGGTATTTTAAATTTACTGAAACATTCATTTAAAAAATTAAAGAAAAAAAATCAATTTGTTTATTTTGGGAAAAATAAGAAATAGTATGTAAAATAATTATTCTATATAACTTAACTAAAAAAATATTTTTATTTCATTTGTTTATCGTATTAGCTGAAAAAATATAAATGAATACTAATAATAAAAATATAACAAATTTATGTACCATGAATATATAAAATTTTCTGAAATTTTGATTATAAAGTCAAATTTCTGTTTATTTTGGAAAAATTAAAAATTAGTATGTAAGATAATAAAATCAATTTTTCAATTAGATTTTTTTACTATTTTAATATTTCAAATATAGATAGTATTCTAATTTATGAGATTGGTGAAGTTGATTTCTTCGACTAGTTGCATAAATTTTGAAAGTTTGACGGATTTTTTTATATATTCACTCTTTGGCATTTATTGCTATTGCATTATTTCATTCATACAAATAAGTTGAATTTTTGCAACATATCGATTAGATGTTGAACCGATCAATAAAATATTACAAAAGATGTAAAAGATTGCGGTTTGGAGCTATATAAATATTAAATACTCTTTCGATATGTTTAATAATATTTGCTATACAGTGTTTATTATTTATGTCGGTAAAGGTTTTTATCAGGAATATTTTTTTAATTTTATCAGATTGTATTCATAGGCTTTCCTAAAATAGTTGATTTATTACTACATATAGGACAGATTTTGAATCGATCAATAAAATGCTATAAAACGATTAAAATTTCATCCTCTAAATACTTTTTCAATATTTTTTCATTTATTACATATACCCTATTTTTTACATGGTTTAAGGAATTTCATCAATGATATTTTTCAATTTCGTCGTCTGATTTATATTTGAATATGTATAGTACTATAGTCATTATATAATATTTTGTAGAATGTATGCGCATGTAAAATTACTAAATCGTCATATAATTTAAAATAATATGTGTAAATATACTACAAGCCTTATTAAATGTAATGCATTCCCGATAAGATAAGAAGAATGTTATGCGTTTAGCACTAATAAATATTCCAATAATTATTTTAAATGTAACCTAATGCTCTTGAATGCTTTTGAATATGAAGCCTCTAGCTAATTTTTGCATGGCAAAATATGTATTCAATGTTTTTATTAAATTTTTTTCTTGAGTTTAAATTACACAATGGACGTCTTCATGAATATAAATGATTCTTGAAAACATATTGAAGTTATATAAAACAAATTTATTCAAAATTAAGTCTTAGGCCTAAGTCTTTTTCATCTTCTGTTTCCACTTTCCACTATCTAAATTTAATATTTTCATTCATCTTATAATTTATATACTTTATCTTAACCTTTTCTTTCTTCCTTATATTCATCTCTGTATCAAATCTGATCGTCTGCAAAGCAAGGAGACACATTTGACAAAATCGGAAAAAATGGTCCACTTGGAGACCTGACCACCACATAGGCGCATTGAAGATACTACATACACCGTGTATTGATTTCTAATAAAAGCCGAATGCTATTACTAAAACAACGTAAAAACCTGCCGAAAGTTCAATTCTGGAGTAACAAACACCAGTAAGGTGGATGTGAGTGTACAGCACATCATAGAACGTAATATTTGTACATATTGATAATACTATCTGGTTCGATAAATTGGTATCTGGAATAGAACAACGTAGTACTGGAAAATTTTCAAAAAAATAGTTATATTACCCAGAACCAAAGAAGTTGTATAGGAATTTAATATTTAGAAAGGTCACTTTCTAAGAATCATTAATAATTTCAATTGGAATCTGATTGGTAGCACGATACATTTAGTAAGCGAGCAGTCGAGACAGAACCATTGTAGGTGTATCAAATACAAGCCAACAACCAAATAAGTTCTGAAACCACTAAGTTGGCTTAAAATTTTCAATTCCTGAAGAAGCCAAAATCCACCCAAGATGCCTCAAGTCTTAGGCCCAATTGGCGACACGCCATACGTCCAAAAACCAAAAGAACCAACTTCCAACACATCTCCTGTCCACAATGGCGGCTATACAAGTTTAGGAAACGCCGGTGGAAATGTCTACATGTCAACCACCGAACCAACAACTCCTTCCTCAGTAATTGATACTGTCAAGAGAGCCTTTACAGGAGGTTCCACAAACCAAAAAACAGGAGCCGGTGAACCCTTGCTCAATGCCAATGGAAGAAGCAACAAAATTGTGAGGTAGGACGAGCAGATAAAATTGTTAAAGTTTGAAAGAAGCACATTGTTGTGGTGGTGGATTTTTGGAATCAAACAATGCTTTTGTGATAATATTAATTTTTGTGAGTAGATTACGTCATTGTGTGTATAGAGACAGATAGTTAGAAGGAAAATCTACTTTATGAATTAAATACATATTTGCTACTTTTTTTACTAACCTATCTTTATTAATTTGTCCTAAGTTAATGCTTTCTTTAGTTTCTGCTGCTTTTGTTTATGTTTCTGCTTAACTGTGCTTTTACTAACTACTTAGTTGCTTTGAGTTTATTATACTCACTAATTTCTGATATTTATAACTACACATTTTGGCTTTAACGATTTTGCGTCGACATTTTTTATTAAAATCCAATAGAACTCTGGTTTCCGGAGATCCATTATTAGAAGTCTTAAATAAGAAGTTTTCCCAATGTTCTAGAGTTTTAAATGTAGGTGAAAAGTTGGCTAATAAGAAATTCAAAAAGTTTGGTCCATCGTTAAAATTGCTTACTACTTCTCGAAGTTTTCCTGCATAATATAAACCATTCGGTTAGACCAACACTGTATCCAATTAGCACGTCAATTGGATTTCAATATGTTTATTAGCATGTGTTTACGTAGATCTTGCAACATAGATCCAATGGTTCATAATGTTCCATGTACCGAAATAAATTTAACAAATTGCTTCTCATTTCAAGACATGTGAAGACAATAGTTAGACCACAAAAATCGTTAGAATTAGTGTCGAATTTTAGTGCGGTTAGAATTTAGTTAAAATGTGGATTTCTGCGTATATGCGGTATGAAAAGTAGTGGATAAAAGTTGTTAGTAACATTTATGTTCATTATCATAATCACATACTAATTACTGTACTAAAAGCTATTATGTTAAACATAAAAAATATTCAAAGCATGAGAATTACACGGTTGCATCACAATATCGATGCAAAATATGCAATAAATATTAACGAATATTTTTTCATGTGTATAAAACTTAAATCTGATCTTTAAATTTACCAGAAATATTCCTATAAGAATATCGTTTTGCTCAAAACGTGATGTTTTTTCGAACATATTTCGTGGTATGTCCACAATTTTTTTAATACTTTAATTTTCATTTCCTCGAAGAAAATTTTGGATAGTTTCCATATTTCTCAGGCATTAAATTCTAGGTCAACTCCATAAAAAGTAGCATTTTCATAATTAATGATGTGTCTCTCTCTCTTGTAAATTTTTGTGATTTTTCATGTGTGTGAACCAAAGACTTCGTGTGCCAAATATCAACGGTTTTTTTTAAAGTCTTGGTCTATTTCTTACATAATGTTGTATACCAAAAATGTATTTGTTTTAGGTCTATATTTTTTTCTTTTAGCTCTCGTGCCAAAACCTTTTCATTCGAAACGTTTGAATGGACGTAACCAAAATAACTTTACGAAATATGAAATCAATAAAACACTCGCTATATAAATTAGGAGTTGTATATATTATATGAAAATGGTGTATTTCAAGGTGACAACATTTATCACTAGGTAAAATAATCTGCAATACCATATTTATAAAAAAGTAAAAAATTGCAAAAAATTAAACATTTACTGTGCAGATGGAACCTAATAGAAAACTAACTAATCGATGAAACGAAATTGTTATCTGATTTCTACTAATTTTAACTAAAAAAATATATATATTTTTTGGTAACAATTAAAGATTGATATTTAATGTTTCTATTTAGAGCCACTATCATTATTAATTATTTTCAATTAATTTTTTGATTGTTCTCAAAATCCCTTCCTAATATTTATTTATATATTTTAATATGGATGATGTTGCTCTCAAAATCAAATTAAGAAGTTCATCAATTTATTAATACATTCCTAACTTTGTTCCTAGAATACAAATTTCTTGAAATAAATCCATCGATAGTGAAATTTTAAATCACCGACCTTGCACGTATATGGATCAACAAGTACTGAACTATCATCATTTTTTAATCAAAGCTGTCACTTGTCATGTTATTTTAATATATATATATATATATATATACTAGATGACCCGACAGACGTTGCCCTGTACTCACCCTTTACAATACAAGAGTTTCAAATTTTTTAATATCGTATCCTATACTTTTCAATATCATATTTGATATCCAACCTTTGTGATTCATTTATGATCTTAGCATAAGCAGTATAAGAAATTCAGAAAAAACAAATATAGTTTTTGCGGTAAAAGAACAATATCACACTTGGATTTACCACACAACATAATTGCTCCAATAATTTAGTCTATAATTTTCATAATCTCTTACAATAAATTCGTTGCTTTTTGGCAATTATATTTTCTAAAGTACATTTTTCTTACTAAGAATTTAATAAACATTATTATTTATATTCAAATCTTAGGTGAATTAATTAGTAAAATCTAATTCATATGAGCACTCTTCAATCTAAGATCAACTTGCTAAATATTCCATATCCAATGCCAAACAAATGATTTTTGTCACATGAAACAAAATTCTAAATCATTTTTTAGTAAGTAGAAATATTTTTTAACCAAAATGCGACATGCATAAGTTTAAAAAAATAATGTATATGCAATTTTGGACTTATTGCGTTATTTAAACTTAAACTGAATTACGTAATTTCATCTGCTAAACATAACTGTTGACTGTATCTTATATTATTTTAATTTTTGGCATATCTCAGCTGCTTTTCGGCAATAAAATATAGACATTACATTTTTCTTGTATATTATATTCTAATATTATCTAGGCTCATAATTTCAGCTGAATTCCAAATTCAAGTGAACTTACATTTCTAGCAGACGACAGTTCAAAAGTTTTCAATGTCAAACAATGATAAGTGTTTTTTTGTAATTTTTGCCAATTATTTCTACAATATTACTATAGTTTTACCGTTAATTAAATCTTAAAAAATTCCTTTGACAAACTCTAAAAAGAATTATCAAAATCCGAATAACCGTTTAGGAGAAGTATCAAATCATACACCCGTACAGAAGAATTTTATATATAAGACATAAGAACGTGAAATCTTTAAATCCTCGTTTGACCAAAAATGTTTTATTGCGACGTTTCAATGAGAGCAACCATTGATGAAAAATGATGACTTAAACAGCAAATTAAAAAGAAAAACTTCTAACCCAAGTCATTCTTAAGTATTATAATTAATTTTTTAAATCGGTATCAGTACAAAAATCTTCATTTTATTTATTGACTTGACATTTCGAGAAAATCTCAAATTGGTGATCCAGATTTTCTGCCAAAAACACAAATTGCTCTTCGGGCACTTGATGATTATTTCTGAAAATCGTTCTTAATATTTGAGCACGGTTGGTACTCGGCATAAAACTTTAATGCATTGTTGCTCTCAAAATCCTACGAGTTATTACAACAACAAGCTAAAGAACTAAAAACGGAAGCAAATATTTAATATTTCAGGCTCCGAGCCAAAATTTAAAGCCGGTAAACAAAGCCGGCAAAACCGAGTAAACAAAATCGTATATACGCACCACAATTACTTTAGATATAAAAATAATGCGAACTAGAGTACTGTTATTACAAATTACGTATCTAATCATAATTATTACATATTGCCGGCCGGAGTAAACAAAATGATAAAATTGCACATTATCGAATGATGCAGCAGAGTTGGAGAAGTTTATTTTGATTCTGCGAAGGTCACTTTGATCAAGAACTTTGATATGGAGTCTATTTTAGTGTTTACTAACATTTTAATGGAAATATTACACTAAATTACACGATCGTAAAATGAAATGGGCGTGAAAAAACAAGTTGCTGAACGGTTTATATTCGATCAATTACTTTCATCAACATAGATAAGTAATATTTAGTCTATCTGGATATTTATGTTGACATGATCATAGTAAATATTTGCTAACGCCTTTGAAATTTACATAATGAATAAACAAATTCGAAACTAGCATCAGATGAGTCTTCCAAATAAGATAATATAAGATATATGAGAAAGGTCTCCATAAAATAATATTTGATGCCACATAACTCTCTCCATTTCCTTAAATTTGTGGCAATAAATCATTAATCCCATACAAAGTTATTTTTGTAGGTTATCCCCAAATATTTGTGTGAATTCTTAAACTTTATCGTATGCAACTTTAAACAAGAATGGTGAAAACAATCGCAAAGTGTTCTATTTCTAATACGACTAATGCAACTGTGAACTAAATACGCAATATCGGGGATAAACGAGAAATTGAATATGTTACATAAATAGATCTAGGCCAGAGGATATATATATATATATATATATATATATATATATATATATATATATATATATAATGAATTTCAAAGGCATAAGTTTGGACGAACCAAAATGATTTTCAAAGGCATTCGATAGGACACTCCAAAATGACTTTTCCTAACTAAAGTTCCAGTCCTCCTTCATGTTGAATTTCAACTGCGCAATAATTCTATCAATTTTTTTGTTGATAAGCCGTAATTATATTGTAGTGGCGTGATAATATACAATTATGTCGACTAGTTTTTAAAATTGGTCTATCCGTCACTTTTTAAAGAACGCATGAGAACAATAATTGTATTTACAGTCGTGGTAATAGTAAAGAGTTTATGGTTCTTTCTGGTATTAGGAATCCGGACATTTTTAAAGACAGTAACAGATATAATTATATTCTGTACAATCTGTACAATGTTTAAATTTTAAATTCGCATATTTGAGATACCAGGATCGATTATCGGTTCTACCCACTTAATGGATGTTATGACACGAAGATCGCAAATTGCCAAAGTCATCAGCTCTGATGATAGACTTTAAATTCAATTTTCTTGGGGACTATAGAAATTATTTTCACACGAAGATAATCTAATTTTAATAGAAGACAAGATTAAATGAATTCCATATTTCTCCAGGAGATGACAAGATAGGAAAATTTTGTTTGTAAGGAAATTTATATATGAGACATTGTGTTCCATCC